CTTTTGAATACTCGCCCATGTTATTATACACCCCTCCGATGTTGTTGCATGAAGTAGCCAAGGATGGATGATTCGGAGGGAGAGCTATTTTTTGGACTTCAAGGGACCGTTCATACGATGAAAGTGCTTTCGAGTACTCGCCCATGTTATCATACACTGCACCGATGTTGTTGTAGGAATCAGCCAAGGAGGGATGATTCGGAGGAAGAGCTACTTTTCGGATTTCAAGTGATTGTTCGTACGATGAAAGTGCTTTCGAGTACTCGCCCATGTTATCATACACCACACCGATGTTGTTGTAGGAAGCAGCCAAGGAGGGATGATTCGGAGGGAGAGCTATTTTTCGGATTTCAAGTGATCGTTCGTAAGATGAAAGTGCTTTTGAATACTCGCTCATGTTATTATACACCAAACCAATGTTGTTGTAGGAAGTGGCCAAGTTGAACTGACTCTGAGGGCTCATTTTCTTGTAAATATCGATTGCTCTTTCGTAAAATGTTATTGCCTTCGAATATTCTCCTATGCTTTGATACACCGTGCCAAGTTCACCATTATACTGTGCTTTGTCTCCATCAGAAGATGCTTTCTCAAGAAGCAGCTGATAGAGATGTTGTGCTTTTGCAGGCTCACCCAAGCCAACAAGAATAGAACCCAGTCGAGACCACCCTGTTCCCACGGAGACAAGCTCTTCGCGTAAATATGCTGTAAGTTTGCTAAAATCATCGTCTTGATTACCTGCGAGGGTAAGATTCACTTGCCAGAGACGATTTGTATGCTCGTCTTCGATCCGTTCAATTTTATCGATACGAAAAATTGTATGAGTGGAAAAAAGAATTTCTTCTTCTTGATCATCATAGAAGCCAACATCTTTGACATTGACGAAAGGTGTCGATGAAGCTGTGCAAATGGCCGTATCGATGTTCATAACGAAGAGAATGCCAACTGAATTCTCATCGAATGATGCCGGTCGTGCAAAGATTTCGCAAGAAATATCAGGATTACAACTTGTCGACAAAAAATTATTAAACGACATAAGTCCACCTTTAGTTTTTTTCATTTTTTCAAAGGCTTCTATGGATAAGCCTTGACCACGAAAAACTTGAAATTTCGATGGCATGGCTGCTTTGCTACTTTGTTGTTCGCGATGTAATTCTGCAATATATTGATGTAGATGGCGGATGAAAAAGCCCATTTTAAGTATAATGTCGACATCCATTTGTCGAAGGCCACGATTGAGCATTGAGTAGATAAAATATGGACCAGTGTACCACCAAATGGGTGTATGATTACGATATTCTCGTTCGATCTTTTCGAGTGTTACTCCGGAAGCATCACTGTGAAGACGACAATATTCAACGAGTTCTTTAATAGATTTTGCATCATCATCTTCGATTTCCAAAAGTGCTTCTTTTAACAATTGTGTATACATAAATAACGGATCAATACGATTAAAACTAATTGGGATCATATTTTGATCACACTTCCTTCGATCGATTTGTAATGCGTCACAAATCGGTTCAATTTGCGTATATACACCTTTTACTTTATTCATTGTTTTGGCCCATCGTTCATGAATCCATTGATTATCACAGAAAATATAAATTGAGACTAATTGTGGGCATTGTTGTATCACCGGTATTAGATGTTTTCCCAGGGCACCAGAGACGATCATTAATACATTTTCATTTTCAATATCACTTAGAAAATCAATACATTCGTCAACATCTTTAAATGTGGTGATTATTTCTACAATATTTTGTAAATGTTGTATTGATTTTTTATAATCGTCCTCAGATTCATCTAGATTAGCATCAAGCCATATCAGCAGGAAATTTTGAAGCATCCGACGAATGGGCTGTGACTGTGTAGTATTTCTGCTCACCACTGTTGTTGTTCCTGCTGCCGATGATGATAACTTATTCGGCTTACTCGTTGTAGATGATGAGCCACTAGCCGTTGATTTAGAGTTTTTCTCGTCCATCTTAATGATAATGAGGATGATGCTGATGGTGTTTTTTTTTTTCAATCTACGTATATGAATGAAAACGTGGATACTATTTGCACACTGTAAGAATCAACGAAACAAAAAAATATTTCATCTCTGTCTCTAAATGTATTTCGATGTTTTCTTCCTTTTTATGTTGACACTTTCGTTTTTCGTTTTGCTGGTTGTTATCAACTTCAAGGACTTTTTATCTCGATTATTCATTCCTTTAATTTAAAAATGCTGCTAGCTAAATGTAATACATAAAACCTGTGTCAATACTTCAGACATAAGATAAGAAAGAACAAGAAGGACACATACAAAGAAGAATATTGCATTACAGTAATAGATAATAGAAAAGAAAAAAGAACTTCTAAGTAGGTTTAAACAGTTTTTTGTTCTTTCCTACTGTTTCTCTTTTCGGTTGCTTTGGACTTCATTACAAAGGGTGATGGATGACAGTGTCTTATAAGTCAATGATGGCTTCTACTGTCGCCAACAGGATATGGGTGTGGGTGGGTATTTGTGTATAGAAGTAACTTTTGCCTGCCACCACACCCACACCCTCATCCATTAATTTGTAGCTAAAACTTTCCTTCAATTCAATAATTACTAATGAGTTAGAGAAAAATATTTGACTTTAAAATTCCTATGATTTTATAAGATGTATAATTTTATTTTAGCTAAACAATCTTGAATAACTGGGTGTGGGGGTGGGTGTGGTTGTGGATGTGGGTGTGGGTGTGGGTGTAAAGAGAATACCCACAGCTATATCTACACCCACACCCCACACGCCCACACGCCCACACCCACATCCACACCCATAACAAAAAAAAAGATACTGCATTTATGAGAAAGACTATCGTATTCAATCAGTATTATTGATTCTATATATTGATAAATTGGACGGATCAGTTAGTAATTTTTTGCATATTGATGGAATATTACGTTATGGGTGTGGAGGTTGCGTATGAGTCACTAGAAGATGTACAAATACATCCATACCCTGCTACACCAATTTTTAAGTGTTTCTTTTTTTGTCACATCGTTTGTTTTGCGTTACTTTTTTCGTTTTTCACCTTGGCTTTTCTTATTTCTATTTGGAATTTACGGCTATTTAAATCAAGACTCTGATGAGTGTTTAAATTTAAATAAAAGATATAGAATGCAACGAAGAACTACGCTCTGCATCTTAACTTGTCTGAAAATGTACACTAATGTACCAGTCTACTATTTGTTTTTTTTTAATTACAACTGTGTCGATCACTGAAAAGTATACGTTGACAAAAACGGATTCACTTCATTCAGAGAAATACAAGTCAGTTTATTTTATGATCGATCTCCTATCACACTCAGACTTTCACCGAAATATCATTGTTTTTAAGTTAAAACGATCGCCTCACGAAAAAGAAAACCATGATAATATCGTCGTCGATTGATAAAGACAGGATGACTTTCACTGCTCACGAAACACAGCCAAGGAATTTTCCCGTATAAAATTTGTGAAAACTGTACCTTAATTCCTTGATATTTTCCTATGGTGGCTGAAAACAAATGAAATATACTCATTTCCAATGACTGCTTTCCAGCAAGTATCCAATTACTTTGAATTATCATGCTTTGTTCATAATTGTTAACATGATTCGATATGATGGACTCGCTTTGCACACAGAGAATCGATATTTTTTTTGCGAAACATAATGTCACTATATATTTGCTTAGAACCAAAAAATAAAATTGAAAAAGCGCAAGAAACAAAAAAAAGAAAAAATAAATGTTCACAAATACATTTGAAGAATCGAAATGAAATATATTTCAAATGTAGGTGATAGAGAAGTGATAAGCTCGTGTCTGTTTGTGTTGTTGTCATTTTTGTAATATCACGAAATCAATAGTAATTGTAAAAAAAATTAATATGCTTGGTTTGAAATAATTAAGGAATATCTACATTTGTACACAACGAAAATTGAGTTCATCTTATAAGAATCTAAAATATGGGAATATTTGTCATGTTTGTTTTCTCGACACAATCAGTCATATCGGATGAAATACAAAATGATCGTACAAGAATGAGTGATCAATGATAGAGAAATAATTGAAATATATTAGTAAAAATAATGTGAAGTTTTATTTTTCGATTTTCATTATTTGACGATTTTACTGAATTTCCATTCGAGTTGACTAGTTATATGATGATGAAGTGTACCGCTCCGGATACAGTGACCCACATAAAACGAAGAAATCCTGTGTATGATTTGTCCACTGATAGTTGTGATGCAAGAAACAGTATATAGGAAGCCACGCTTTCCTCGAATTCGGATGCATCAAAAGTGCTATGATCTCTAGAATCTTTAGAGAAACTTATGCAGCTGATGTTTTAAACCTCGTTCCATGTGATTTAAGCTGCTCTTCCATTTTCTATATTAAATAGTTCTCATCGTATTTGTGTGAGTGGAAGGAAGAAGAGTATCAATAACGACACTCTATAACTCGTGAGTGCCTGATGTATTCGTAGGAATTAACTATGAGACATATAGAGCTGGATAATTTTCAATTTCCGAACAAATTTCATGTTTGCACACACTTGTTCTGTTTCGCAACGTTACGTACATTGAAATACTATCTAATGAAAAACAAAAGCTAGATCTATGAAACATTGCTATTTTGATATATGAAGAAAATAATGGTGAAAACTATTCAATAATAAAAATCGAAGAGTGGCTCGAATCGTATTTAATGAAATTTAAAAAAGAAACAGCATAAGTTTATTCTATAATATCCTTCGGGTCATAATGCTTTTCAGTACAATTTAATATTCTTCAAACAGAAGAACAGGCGTAAAGACTTTCGACATATCAATATCAGAGTAAAACATGACTTCCTGTGTACAATGCGATACATCACAATGTCTTTTGAAAAACTACATATAGAATTTGGCGCGTTCGAGGTACATCACCAAATCCAGCTGATTCTTTTGTCAGTGAATGTAAGATCCCTAGCATTGACAACTCAATTCTGTTGGAAAAAGACTCACTTTCAATTTTTCGTTAATCTTTGGATCGATTCTTATGCATTAAGCAGCAGAGAACAACAGAAGCGAGGACTATAAACAAGAGCATCAAGAGAATGCCAGACATTGTTGGTTCACTATCATCAGTGTGTGTTTCGGCAGTATTGTTGATATTCGAAGACGGATGATCCGGATCGTGGCAGTTGCCATCAGGTGCACATAACGAATTATCTATAAATCGAAAAAGAAACTGCATGTCAGTACAAATTTCAATGAGGCTAGAATGTGAAGTTCAGCATACGAATGATGTAGAGTGCAGCGAAGAAATTCGATTCAAGTATGATTTCAACCTAATTCAACTCATTCACAAAAATAACCAAATTAAATTCATGAACTGAATGATCGTTTTGTTGTGATGTCTTTCTCGAACATTCTATAGACACTAAACTCGACTATTCTTTGTAAAATGATTGTTTGATATATAGAAAAGGTTAAGTCAATGCATTAAAAACAGTCTCATGTTCACCCTGTTCAGATATTCACTTACATGAACAACATGTATCTTCGTGATTTGGTGACTTGCAACATTTACCTTACAAAAAAAAAAATTCAATGAGACAAACAGAAAAACAGTACTATTATGATTCATCTACCTGGTGCACCTTGATATGCCTTTTCACAACTGATATTCTTTGAACAGCACAATAGACAGAGACGTGCAGCTTCTTCTGAATGTTCTTGGCACCAAACAGACATCAGAATACCAACACAACAGAATATGAAAAAATGCTTGAACATTTTTTTTT